ACCACACTTGAGGCTTGCTTGAGTAATAGCCAAAGCATCTGAAACTCCATTTTTCACTGAGTGTGATGGGACCCACTTGGAACCTGGCTGGAGACAGCCCATCATATACATATTGTGAGTCCATGGAACTGGAGAAGTGCTCATCCTTAATTAAAATGAACCCATTATATCTCTGATTGGAGGTACATGAGAGGGTCACAGATCCTCCTAAGGTTACAACAGGGTATGGAAGTGTAGACAGGGTGGGTTTGTAGTAGACACCTAGAAGAGATACATATGGAATTTTAAATGAGTTCACACAGTCTGGATTGTCCCCCAGACCGGAATAATGAGTGGGGATACATTCAGAGCAGACTTTTTAAAGAGTCTCATCTGGGAATTCATATTATTCCTGAGTAATGACTCACCTGTCACCAACAGCTACAGGGAGGTACTGTACTGAGTAGTTGACCCGTGTATAACAGAAGGACACATGGAACCATCAGAGTATCCATCTCTCTGCTGACTCTGCCAGGCTCACTTATCAGAACACCCCTCAGTGCTTTCTGTATTTTGACTCCCTAATCTGCATGTTGTATATGTGGGTTCAGGAACCTGTCCATCCCTGTACTTATCACACATTAGGGTCTCCTGGGGAAACCTGTTTCAAGTTCAGTGTCATTCAATAGGGAGCCTGGGGCTTCCTCACCTGAGACTATAAGCTCCAGGATGTCACTCCCTTCTGACCACACTTGAGGCTTGCTTGCATGATAACCATAGCATCTGAAACTCCATCTTTCACTGAGTGTGATGGGACCCACTTGGAACCTGGCTGGAGACAGGCCAGTATATACATATTGTGAGTCCATGAAGCTGTAGAACTGCTTGTCCTTAATTAAAATGAACCTGTCGTATTTCTGATTTGAGGTACATGAGAGGGTCACAGATCCTCCTAAGATTACAACAGGGTTTGGCAGGGCAGACAGGGTGGGTTTGTAGTAGACACCTAGGAGAGATACATATGGACGATTAAATGAGTTCACATAGTCTGGATTGTCCCCAGAACTGAGTAATGAGTGGGGATACATTCAAAGCAGACTTTTCTAAAGAGTCACATTTGAGGATTCATATGATTCCTGAGTAATGTCTCACCTGTCACCACCAGCTCCAGGGCGTCACTCTTCTCAGTCCACCCAGCAGAGTTATAACAGTAACAGTGATATTGCCCTGCATTATTCTCTC